GAAAGCCTTGCTGACGTCTAGAAAGACCACTCCAGTTGACCTGTTAGTATTGAATCCCTGCGTGATTCCCTCTACTAACCTTAACACCTGTAATTCCGTGGAGTGTCTTTCTCTAAATCCGAATTGTTCATCGGGGATAACATTTAGTATTTCCGTTTCTTCTTTGAGTCGCTTTAATATTACTCTTTCTGCTATTTTGCTCATTGCAGGTAATAAGCTAATAGGCCTGTAATTCTGTGGGAATTTTGGATCCTTGCCTGGTTTTTTAATCATTATAACGTCCGCTTTTTTCCAGTTATTAGGGAAGTAGTGAAGTCTTAAAATTGCGTTGATTATATTGGTTAAAAAAACGATGGCTTTGTTCGGGAAGTTTTTTAGTGCACGGTTTGAAATCCCGTCACACCCTGGCGCTTTTTTGGCTGCAGCCAACTTGAGTATGTCCTTGACCTCCTGTGGTGATGTTACAGTGATATTGTCCAATACTTCATCTTCAGATTCCATAGATTCCTCTACTTCCTCCGTAAATTCCATATCTTCGTCTTCATGTTGGTTTTCGGTGCACTCCAGTTCGAGCGTTGCTATAAACGCCTCTGTTTTGTCTATGTCCGTGTGTGCGAGTCCATTTTGTCCGTGTATTGATGGCATTGTTGGTCTGTCTGTTCTGAGTACTTTTTGGAGTTTCCAAAAGGGTGATTTCTGGGGGTCAAGTTCGTCCAGGAAATTTTTCCATTGTTCGTCTTTGTATAGTTGAAGTTCCAGTTTTACCTGTTCTTTAAGTCTGTTTGCTTCTCTTTTGTCTGCAGCCAACCTTGTCATGTGTGCTCTCTTTCGAGCGCGTCTTTTCAGCACTATTAGATTTTTCAGTTCCTGACTGATGTTTCTAAATCGACTAGGTCTTGTTACCTCTATTTGTCTTGTGCTGTCAGCCAGTGCCTGTTGCGTGACTGTTTCTAGATGCTCGAGTGTTTCGTCTACTTCCTCGCAGGACTCAATCCTTGGGATTGGTCCTAGATTGCCTGCCAAAATTCGTTTGAATTTTGTCCAATCTGTTTTTGACACTGTTCTTGGCGCGTTGATGCCATTTCCGTCTCCTAGTGTTAGTAGGATCGGGTTATGTCCACCTGTTCCTTCATGCAGAGAGTACATTTCCTGTTGGAAATCACACTCTCTTAGCACGGCAATGTCGATGACGTCTGGTAAACCACCGTTGTCAGGGTAGTGGGTAGGTTCGTCGGGACCTAGTACCGAGCATCTAGGGTCGTTTGCCATGATTGTTTCCAACACTCTGCCTCTAGTGTTGCGAAATCTACTGTTCCAAATTGGGGATTTAGCGTTTAGATCGCCGATAATTATCCCTGCCTCCCCCTGAGGCAGGACTGCGTCTATGTCACCCCCGTGCAGGACTGCATTAGGTCGAACGTAGGCTGAAACTATTCTTAGAACTCCGTGCAATGTTCTAACTTTAATAGTTGTAGATTCCATTGTTTGTAATGCAGCAGGGGTTGGAATAGAGTGATGCTCTATTTCCTGTTTGATTAGTATCGCAGTGCCACCAGACATTGCTTGATGGTCGTTCCTGTATACATTATAACCAGGCCAACGCAGGTTATATGTATCCGTAATTTTTGTTTCCTGTATTGCAACTATGTCTAGGTTCTCCCTTTCCATTAGTTCACCTAGGAAATTTATATTGGGTCTGATTCCACCTGGATTCCAGGACCCAATCCTCAAACTAGCAGGCTGTATAGGTGTATTATACATTTCCTGCTGGCGTCGTTTGGAATGATTGCATCATATGTTGGGTGAAATTGTTAAACATTTGCGTCATTTGCGCTTGCATCTGCTTTTTCATTTGTTCGAAAAAGTCAGCTTGATTATTATTGTTATTATTATTATTATTATTACCGCTGTTATTTTGATTTAGTTGTTGGGCGTAACTGACACCTTGTGTCGTGGTTTTAGAATTAAATTGTCTTGGTTTAGGTGCCTGGGGCCTCCTACTAACACCCATGTTTGGTGCTTTCGGACATCCTCTATAACTCGCAGGATGTTCCCCGCGGCAATTTGCACAAGTGGCTTTCTCGTTGAGAGGCCTTTTGCACAGAGCAGCTCTGTGGTTTCCACCACATCTCACGCATCGCTCATCCATGTGGCACATGGATTGTGCGTGATGGTACCCCTGGCACCGATAGCACTGAGTCGCGCCGTTTGGAGCCCTTTGGGCCTCAACTTTGACTACAAGTCCTACACACCGGATGACTTGTAGTATATCGTCCTTTTCGGACTGGGGTACGTCGATCAAGAATAAGGGTAGAGCCCTTTTGTCCACTCTTGAGGTCATCTGTTGCACCTTGATGGGGTGCAGACCCTGTATAACAAGGTCTGTCATTATGTCTACTGGCGACATATTAGTTGGTATTCCTTTTAATACCGCTTTGTATGACTTGTCCTCTGCCAATTGATGGCAGAAGAATTTTACACCTGTTTTTTCAAGGTGCAACGTCATTTTTCGGTAGTCGTCTGAGGTTTTCGGCCATACCCGTGTGCCGTTGCCTTTTACAACTGCCATTTCATAAAATATATTATTTATTTCAAATTCGCGGGTAATTTTTACCCAGTTAGAACTGGCATCTAGCAGTATAGATGCCACTTTCGGAATTTTAGGTTCGTCTGTTTTATTCGCATTGATGGTTTGATTTTTATCAGTATTAGTCGCGTTACTATTATTATTATTATTTACAGTAGTCGGGTGGTCGTCGTTTTTTCTGTGTTTTGCGGCGGTTCGTCTTTCTCTACGTGTTTTCCTTTTACGAAAACCTTGTTCGTCTATTGAGTCGTCTGAGTAGGTGCTTAACTTGTCTTCGTTGTCAATGTCCATGTCATTGTCGTTATTTTCGCCGTCGGTGGTGGTGAGGTCGTTATTTAAATCAGAAGTTACTGTTACTTCTTTTGTTTCGTCAGTTGTTATTGTTGAGTTTATTACGTCTGTCTTTACTATTTTAGTTGGTTCTGTTGTTAAAGTTGTGTGTTTGGTCTTTGGTATTTTACTTTGTTTATTTATGTTGTCTGTCTTATCTTTATTGTCTTTGATTATATTGTCTGTCTTGTCAGTCTCTTTCTTGCTAAGTGCAAGAAGTCTCTCCATTAGGATATTATTTTTAATATCGGCTTTATCGGCTTGCGCCACTATTTTATTTAGTGTAAAATTAACTTGTTCTAACTGGTGTTTAAGTCCTTGGACTTCCAGTCTTAATTTTGCGGTTTCCGCTTCCGCTCTAACCCTGGCCTCCTCACTAAGCGTGAGTTGGTCCTGAATATCTTTGATTTTTTTTTTAGCTTTCTGTTTGTTAAACAATGTCGATCAAACTCAATTACGGCGGGTTAAGCATGAGTAGATACGAAAGTGGTATCGCCATCTATACTTAGGAAGCAAAATCAAAAATTACATCTAGTTGATATCCACGATGGTTTACGTCCGCGCTTAGACTTTGATATATTTATATTTATAGTGGATGTCCATGGGATATTGAATACACCTTAAAAAAAATTAATTTTAAATATCTCAACGGTACTATTAGCCACAATGGCGAGTACAATGGCGTAATTTTTTAATAATTTGCTATATAATTACAATTATTTATGGACATTTGCATGTCTATAAATTACATTTCATGGATATAAAATAGATATCCACCATGGACTGGACATTCAGTGGATATTGGGATGTTCAGTAGATATCCAAAGGATTTGGTGTGCTGTCTGGGATAAATTTGGTTAAGATGTGGTGATGGCATCTGCACGTTTTTGGAGTCGGTTTTTTTAAATTTTTAATTTCTAATACTTGTGATAATAACAGTAATGCTAAAAATAGTAGACATCAGAAACTTGAAAGGTTTTAAATAAACAATAAATTATCATTTTACGATGTTCTTTAATATCGCTTTATTCTTAAATGTTCATTCAGCAAGGACTAGATTTCAAGATTTCTGCCTTTGATTATATGTGGCTGGAATGCAATTTTGTGACTTACTGATGGGAAACCAGTTTTAATCATTCATTCTATGTTTTCTTTCGAACAAAAATGAAAATATAAATACGATCCTTTTCTATACATTTTAACTTCACGCTATTAAATGGTATTTTTTTATTTTGACAGAATAGGCTAATTCTTCAATGACAACTTATTAGACTTAGGCAACTTCTCATACATTTTCCAGTAAATACTGTTGCCTGTCTATATTTTATTATTGATTTTTATTGATTATACATAATTTTCTTTAATTTAAGCGGGAAAAATATATAATAATAATAAATTAATGTTTTGCTTATTTTACAAATCCACATACTTTTATTAAAACTAACATATATACTTTTTATTTACGAATTCTATTAAAAATTGTATTAGGCATTCCAACGACCTGTCCAAATGGCTACCAGTGGGTACTGACAGTTTAGATATGGCAACCTTGTTGTTATGTTGTCATTAACAGGGTCAATGATACATATATGTTATATACATTGCTCAAAGCTGGTCGTTTGCGAGCAGCCATATTGCCTGGCAAATATTTATTAATTTGAATCAGTTTAGCAAAAATGTGTTTTAAAACCAATGTTCAGACTTTAGATATTTAAAACATAATAATTGCTTATATTTTTACTTCAAGGCATAAGCTTATGTTTATTTTAAAAAATAGGGATGATCAATCTATGTAACTATCTATTTCACTCACCTTGTGTAATCACCAGGCCTACAGAGTTGCCATAACTTTGCCACATCATAACCTGTCAAAACCCACTGGTAGTCATTCAGTTTGGAATGCCTAATTTGTCAGTATAGGCAGAAATAGTCCTTTAATACCAAAACAAATTGGCGCTGCTGACGCGCACGGAGCGAATACGTATGTGGCTCTACCTCATGGAAGAAGGAGTTTCTACACTGTTCCCACCCGAAACTGCATGGTGTTCTGTGAGGTGACAGGTGACTGCATAAGAAAGGTTGCCAAGGTTGGCAACACTGAAAACATGGAACAACAATAGATCAATAACATTTACAAATTTTTAAAGTTCCGCACGTTTTTAAATAATTAGAAATGGCTTTTTCTCAAAAGCACGATGGAAAGGTGTATGTGCCTTGGTATAATACGTAAGAACGTAATTTTTGATCAATCTGTATTTATTGAAACGTATAATTTATTTTTAGTAACGAGTGGCGAAGTGTTTACAATTTACTAACCTCAAATTGCCCTGAAAATTTAAGAAAAGCTTTATCAATATTAAAAATATGGAAGAACATAACACCATTACTGTCTGCGGGAGTTGAAGGTACCTTAATATTGTTGGAGACAATATTAGCCGACTTCAATAATACACCGGAGCCTCAAGTAATTCAAATTTACTCAATAACTCTCTTGAGGTGAGTCCTACGCAAATGTATAAAATATTTTATTTGGCTAGTTTCTTTTTAGATTTTTAAATATTTCTGCAGCGAACAGCAATAGACAAGGAAATTTTAATAGAACAGTTTCAAAAAATGATCTCCCCAAATGGCTTATTGATATTCGACATGACATAGCTCATGATCACATACTGCCATCAAAATCAATGCTGGAACTAGCATTAACAAATTCTCTGCAGTGGCTAATTGAAAAATATTGGAAAATTCAAAATCACTCTATTTCTGACTATGTCGTGAACACTGATTATTCAAATGCTAAAATTTTTGATTGTCTAAATGCATATGTTAGACTGAATTTAAACATGTATAGAGGCTTTGATTTAAATGAATATGATGAGGCTTTAATGGAAAAAGTCAACTATTTGGTTTCAAAAAGGTAAATAAAAAGAAAGGGTTAATGTGCTAACGAAAAAAAAAATACTAAGAAAGTGATACTTTTCATAAAACAATGCCTATTTGGTTAAAAATCACCTGTAAACAGTTTCTGATTGTTCTATAAAGCTACTATTTTCTACATATGTTATCAGGAAAAATATAAATGAATCATTTTAAATAAATTTTCCCAAGATTATGCATTTACAATAAATAACATTTAGATTCAAGCATTGTGGATGTCAATCTATAAAAAATTTTAATTATACTATAAATATTAAAATTCACTTTTTTGAGAGAAAAATCATAAATTAATTAGACAAGTATTTTTACATACAGTATGGTTTCAATGAAAGGAGTGAGTTCATTAGTTTGTAAACCGTTGATTTTATAGAAAAATCCTGAAACCTGTTGATTTTTATTTGTAAACAAGCTTTTCATCAGATTATCTTTTTATTTTTACTTCATCTGTGTGAGCATGGTGATGTCATCAATATTTTTTTTAAATAATAATGTGGGTGTTGCAATACATCATTTGAAAGGTTTTTTTGAATATCTATTCATCAATGTCTAGGTAATTTATTTTTGTTTATTGTCAAACATTATTTATGAAATGCCAATAATTATAATTATTTTTGAAATTTATTACTTTTTACCCAAAAATAAATTTGGTAAAAGATGTCACTAACAATGTAATAAGGAACTTGTAAACATATACCATTGTGCCGTAACATGTCACACTTTCCAATTTGAATAATACAAGGATTCAGGAAGATGTATGTAATTTATTGAATAATACATATACCAACCAACTATCTTCGTACTTTTTGAGTTCATTGATATTTTGTGGATTATTTTGGTACACTTTTATTTTCACGTATCCCCATAAAAATCAAGAAGAGTTAAATCTGGTTACCTAGGTGGCCATTCTATTGATCATCTTTTACCTAGCCACCGATTTAGATGTAGATTTTTTTTATTTTATTTATTTTTAATTAATCTGTGTTTACAGTTACCTAATTTCATTCTCAGTGACACACTTTACCAAATTTATTTTTCGTATCCATTAATACGGGATTAATACATAACAAGTATAATTAATAATTTGTGTTAAGAAATCTATTGGTATTTTATAAATAATTTTTTTTGACAAACAAAAACCATATACCTACTTAGACATATTGATACGGCTGAATAGATTTTTAAAAGACCTTTCAAATAAAATATTCAACACCCACATTTCTATTTAATAACGTCGTCACGATCACACAGATGACGTCAAAAACAGAAAGATAATCACCAAGTTTCAGGATTTTTCTATAAAGTCGCCAGTTTACCAAATAATGAATATATTCTTTACTGTATTCTCTATACTATATACCTACTTATATTTTATTTTGTTAACAGGTACAACAAATTAAAAACAGATACACAAGGATTAATAATTATCTTAGAGGAAATTTTGAAACAAGCTCTCTCAGATCCAGATAATAGGAAAATTGCAAATAAAGTGGCAAAAAAATTAGTAGATGAAAAAGCACTTTTAGGTGCTAATTTAGAAACAACTAAAGAAGGTTAACATATATACACTATTGTTTTTATTTTTTATATCGACTCGGTAATGAAGTTTATTTGAGCAGTATGTATTCGTTTGTGGGCCTTTCAATGGTTTTGCGAATCCTAGAGCGAACCATGTGAATTTTTAATTAATTTGTAGGATTCGATTGGTGTCATATTAGCAGTAATTTAATTTCTGTTGATATGGCATCCATATTACAAATCACAGTACTTTGCCCTTTCGATAATGGTGGGCGGGATGTTCTTCACCAGTAAATCAAATGGCACCATCAGGGGTTAAAATTTACTCATAAAGGGTGAATTAGTATGAATACTCTTTAGGAACATGTAATTTTAGTATTTTAATTAGGTACCATTCTAGTTTTTTAGTATGACTATTTCAGGTAATGAAGTTATATCCAAGACATTTAAAAAGTTATGGAAAAATTTGCTAAATATCTTATACGAAAATGAGGGATTCTTGGCAGCTCTCTTTGACCAACTGTGGTTGTTTATTATATGCAATAGCAAGATTGAAATTGATAAAAAAATTGCATGTCTTTGGATTTGCGATTTGTTGAATGGTTTATTAAAAGAGCAGGCTCTACAAAAAGAGCTGACTAACCAAATCGAGGTTAGTAGTAATTTGAATACTATTTTTAAACATCCTTGTTCTCTAGACAAATGCCCTTCAACAACATTGCCTGTCGAGATTCCTAGACATAAATTTGATGGGCCAGCTTGGGCCAGACGACGTTCAAGCTTGTTCTCAAATCTTCAAATACAGCATCAGTATATATGAGAAATGCATTTATGCATACTAAGCCCTTATCTAGCATAAATGCATTTCTCATATATGCCGATATCATGAGCGGATTTATTTTTTCTTGTTACATACAGGTTGAGTGATGTCGTAGATTTTATTATTTGCGTGTATTAGAAGCTTACGCAATTTTTTGTAAGTTGCGCTTATTGGGATGCCGATGTTTATATAGGTAGGTATATATTAGTGAGAATGAATTAAATTATTAGAATAAATCGTTTGAAGCATGTTGTGAAATTATTGTACATTTTAATCTTATCATATACATGTACAATCGTTCATTGTAAAGAATCCCAAAACGTTTCGCATAAAACGATAATTGTCGTAAATGTGGCAACACAACGTAACAACGCTATGTTACTCTATTTAAAATTCAAAAGGTGTAATTTATTTGATAATTTTGAACCTAATATTTATACAATGTTGCCAAATATATTTAATGAAATTCCTACACTATACAAGAATAATAATTCTCTAACCATGCGTAGCTCATTATGTATTCTACATTATCATTTTGATTGTTCAAGAATTTTCTTCGCCCCCGACACTATTTTTAAACTGCTTTCTAATTCTGAATTCTGAGTCACTTTCACGGTTCTCAGCTGCTGGGCTCTGCCTTTACGGTAGTGAACAGAATAGAGGTGGTAAAAAATTTATCTGAACTATAAAATTTTTGAGTAAAATGGTACTTGATTTATGTTGTTTAATATTTATCGATACAGAATACACATTTTGGCCAAACGCGGACAAACCGAAAAATTAATGAGTATTGAAAAAACGAATCTTGATTTTTTTATACATTTTTTAATAATCAGTGTTTATAATTATATAGAACATTGGGGTGATCAACTCGATCGTTCTGCATATAACCGTGTTGTTCATAAGGTGGCGCAGAAATAGAGGCATTGCTCCGAAAATTAATTGAAACCCGCTGAGGACTTCTTTGTTCAATCAATCAATTCAATTCAACTCTGAAAAATTTTACATAGTTTTATCTACACAAATTTTTTATTAGTCTAGTCAGAGCATAGTCTACACAACCATCCATTCTCCTTACATACATACATAACAATTCTCATGCACTCCTACCTTACATACAGATTCTAGGACATTTAGGATGTAAAACTTATTAAAATTAAACATACCTAGAATATAAACTTTACATAGGTAGACACGTTACATCACTTTTCAGATTACAAACATTTTATTTCGCTGAATTGAGAAATTCAGCAGTAGAGTAAAAAGCATTTTTTAGCAGATATGTGAGCAAGGCCGATTTAAATTTATTTACATTTTCAATAACACCAAATAAACTAACCACGTGATTATAGCATAATATTCCTTGGTATGTTGCAGGGTTCTGCCCCTGTGCCAGCCGTGAGTATGGTAAGCGTAATTCATTCCCTTTTGGGATCCTGTATGAGTGGATTTTTTTGTTTTTTAAGTGCTTTGATTCATTCATATAGATAAATGTAGTTATTGTTAAGATATAAAGGCAGGGTAGTGTTAAAACTGCCAGTGAGATAAACAGGTTTTTGCATGGTTCCCTCGTCTGTGCACCTGCCATGCATCTAATTATTTTCTTTTGTATAACAAACACATTATGCATGTGCGCTGAATTTCCCCAGAATGCTATTCCATATGATAGCTTGGATTGTACCAGGCCAAAGTAGGCTAATTTGAGTACTTGTTGTGTTACAGTTCCTTTGAGATTTCTTATTAGAAAACATAAGCTACTTAGATTTGAGATTAAGTTTTGTGTATGTGCTTCCCATGTCAGTTTGTGATCAACAGTTACACCTAGTAAGGTATTTAAATTGAATTACCTGTTCTATTCTAGCATGGTTGATTCTGATTAAAGGTGATGCATTTTTAGGCTGAAATAGCATGAATACAGTTTTTTTCATTAACCAGGAGTGTTAAACTCATCAGCAGTTTGATTTGCATCAGCCACTGTGTGTTGAAATCGATTGTTGGCTACTACCTGAGTGGTGTCATCAGCATATATATTTGTTGTTGATTTTTGCATGAGTATGTCTGCCATGAAGATAATGAAAAGCAGAGGAGCAAGAGTAGAGCCTTGTGGTACCCCCATACATACTGATTTGGGTTGCGATTTTACATCCTTCAAAGCTACAATTTGAGATCTGTTTGTAAGATAGAATTTTAACCAATCAAGAGCGACTCCCCTGATTCCGATTCGACACAGTTTTTCTATGAGTAGATCTTAGTCAATTGTGTCAAATGCTCGAGTCAGGTCAAAGAATAGAGCTATTGGATAGTTCCCTTTATTTAGGTTGTCATATATATTATTATACTATTCATGCACAGCTGTCATTGTGGATCTTTTCTGTCTAAACCAATGTTGACATTCAGGTATTAGCTTGTGATGTTCTACACATTTCCCTAATCTATGATTTTGGCAAATTGTGATTGCAGATTTATATTACGATAGTTATTTATGTCACATTTGGACCCTTTATTTTTGTAGACGGGTACGGATTTTGACATTTTTAGATTGTCAGGATACACTCCCTCACAGAAAGATTTATTAATAATGTATGATAAAGGATCACAGATAAGATCACTTACCACTCCTACAGTTTTTTGTTTTTGTTTTTTGTTACAGAATTTATAATCTCATGAACTTCTTTTGATATGGTTGGATATAAAAATAGTGAACAATCTGAGAAAGGTGCAAGTTGTATTTTGTCATAGTTTGGATTTGGTTTTTCAATACTCGTAAAGAAGTCATTAAAGTAGTTTACTAACATATTTGTTGTCTTTTTAATTGTCGTTACTTAATTCTATGGTCGATCTATTCTCTGTTTTTCTGTTTTCTTGTATGATTTTCCAGACCTCCCTATTTATATTGGTTGAGTTCAGAATTCTGTAATTGTTATATTCTGATTTTGCTTTTTTCACTAACTCTCGGTAGATATATTTTAATTCAACATATTTAGATTGTATCACTTCATTTCCAGTAGAGTGGGCAATACTGCACAGTTCACATACCATATGATGTAATTCGTTGACTTGTTTCGTAACCCAGGGAGATTATGTTTTATGAATTTTTTCTTACTTTTTTGTATGTACAATTTTTTTGATAATGGTATTGAAATGTTGCGAAGAATGATTCAAAGCACTCATTAGTACTTTTGGCACTATAGATATCCCTCCAGTTCTCATTTAATAGAGTATTTCTAAAAGACATACTCATACTTTATAGAGCCTATTCAGTTGATGCCCTTGTCATACAAGTGAAAAAATGAAGAAATATTGTGTGCGACTATTAATTGTACATTTTTTAAAATATAAATATTCACCTATATGCCTGTAAAACCAATGGCTAAAGAGGCTAATAAACACATGTGATGCCATTTTCGCAATACAATAATATACAAAACATTGTAGTAATAATTTCATATCTTCTAAGATAAATTAACTCAATTAATTAATCTTTTGATGTAGATCACTTTAAAATTAACTAAATTGGGCTTAAGTAAATTATAACTTCATAAACTGAAATGCCCATCCTTATTTTTCAATGGAATTATTGAATGCAGCCATCAGCCAGCCCTGCGAGTTTAGAAGAATATTTCTCTTTTTGGGAGGACTTGCTCAGACTTCTCTTCCCTTGCACGACCTTAAGTTTATATTCTGGCAAAATAACCGGCGCGTTTTTCTGTACCGACAAGTTTCAACAGGCTTTCTTTTCGCACACTTCCTCTTAAGGGCGCAGTATCACTGTATTTTTCATATAAGAAGCAAGGGTTCACCATTTCCGATTGCATTTAAATCCCGCTAAATGTATTAAAATGAATCTTCTACCAGCTTAAAGTATAAGGTTTGGAGAATGAAATCTCCTATTTTTTATTTGTCCTGTTTATACACTGAATTTTAAAAAAAATCATAAAAAGTGATTTTAAAACCACAGGCTAAAAAGTAGGAGATTTCATTCTACATATTTTTCTAAGTATCCCGCCAAAATATTTCTAAATTTTATTGCGTATTTTTCAAATCTAACTGGAAATACGATTAACAAATATTTGATAAATTTATTTGTCAAATTAGAGATTTTCTATGAATTCCTGTAATTGTGTATAGTTCATGTAGTTCATCTATTTTTAAGAAGATGTCACCGTAAAAAAATCTAGCTACTCTGTTTTAGAGATGGTTTTAATAGGTAAATGATTGTTTAGAGGTACCAATTTTTGAAACGATACAGCTGTATGCCGTCTTTTATTGTTTCGTGATTTTCATATATATTTGTCTCGCTTTGCGTTCCAGATACAAAATTATCGATTTGTGTTCCTTGCGTATGAACAAGTATTGGCCACGTTGCCAGATGTACAATAAATATCGATTTATACGATAATTTCACAATTTTTTCTCAGGCGAATTTAATTTTAAAGTGGGTGAAATGTGAAATGCGGGAGAGGAACTTTATTGCATTGAGATGTAATTTGAATCCGAATGACCTGGCATCACTGTATGGTACGCACGTAATATTTGCGGGACTTGCTTTCTTCTAATGAATGTTATTTTATCTTTATAAGGAACTTTATTTCTGAGTTAACACGTTGACTGCTATGTGTATATGTACCCTTGTGTATGTCCCATTAGTGCGTAATTGTTCAATATTTTAAATTGTGTTAAAGACACGCAAACATGTTTCAAAGAAAAGTTATATGGATTTAGAAAATACATATTTTAAAAATATTTTTGGATATACAGGGTGTTATATTTTTGCCTGGCATATTTTTTAAAACGAACAACATGTATTTTATTTCAGTTTTAGAATGATTTGGTAATACTGTATTCAAGCCTAGAATGTTTAAAAAAACTATTACAGGTTTGCCAAGCAATTAAATTTTTATGAAATTAGAGAATGATATGCAGACCCCAAATTAAATTATCATAATTTGGGTAGGATTACATTAATTTCAAAATTGTTTAATATACAGACTTGTAGCACATTAAGATAACAAATAGTGTTGATAGTGCTGGATTCTTTTATACCGAGTGTTTTTAAACTTGTCTTATATATGGCTACTTTGAGGTTTAATTTACTTAATTTTTTCAAAGGCAACATATTTTAGCATACAATTCCTTATAAATTTGCCTGTTCAACAATACCAACATGTTAGAGAATAACACCCTGCAGGTAGTTATACATATTTGATTGTTTTCAGGTTGTCAAATAATTTTAATTGACTTCATTCATTTGCTATGTTATATGTAGGGTGTATCAAAGCGCGAGGTTACGATTTTTTTAATTGTTTCAATGGAATTCACTGTATTAATTAATTGGTGGTATAACATAGAGAGTATCACATTTAAAAAATTGAGAAAATCGTAACCTCAAATTTTGACACATTTTATATACAACATATCAAATGAATCAAATTGAAAATATTGTTCGACGATGTAAAAACAATCAAATATGTATAACAACCTGCAGGGTGTTTTGCTTTAAAAATGCACACTGCATATTTATGAATAATTGTTAAATATGGTCATACAACTTTTATATTATTTTTTTTTCGTATTTCCTATTATAAAACTCATGTGTTATTGACTATCATATTGGTATCGTTGGATATGTAAATTTATAAGGAATTGTATGTTTAAATAACATACAGCGTGTGGCATTTGAAAAAATTAAATAAATTTAACTTGGAATTAGCCATATTTAAGACTTGTTTTTCAAAACACTCTGTATAAAATAATCCAGTTATATCACCACTATTCGTTAGCTTAGTATCTTATTACTATTTTTTTAAATTAAATTATAATTTAATTTAGGGTCTGCATCATTCTCTAATTTCATAAAAAAATAATTTATTGGCAACCCTGCAATATTTGTTAATAAAGTTCTAGGGTTAAATGCAGTATTACAGCATTGCATGCAGCATTCTAAAACTGAAGTAAAATACAGGGTTTTTTATTTAAAAAATATACCTTTTTATTTGTCAGACAAAAACGCAAAACACTGTATGTCTAAAAATATCTTTAAAATACCCATTTTTGAAATTCATATAACTTTTTATTTAGAAATTATTTACGTGTCCATAACACAAATTGAAATATTGAACAATTACGCACTAATGTATGTCCAGGGCCGACTAGAGGGGGGGGGGGGGGGGTAGCCGGGACTAATTCCCGGGGCCCGGGCTTAAATGGGGGCCCGGCAGCGCTGTAAGGGGGCCCGTCAAAGTTTTTTTTTTGTTCTGCATGAGAAATTCGACACAAGATGAGAGAGGGAAGTTAAGTTTAAATTAATTAAAAGTTTTAGCCTAGAGAAGTTTTATTCGGGTGAGGACTTTTTTTTTGTTTAGAAGAAGAAGTAATTGAAAGGGAGAATAGTTTTTGATGTAAAGACCTTTTAAATTCTATTTCAGTAGAAGAGGAACAGTTTTTGGTTAAAGATTTTTTTGTCACATGGCCCGATCTAGCGAATTGTCCTGGGGCCCGGCCTGGCTCTCGGCGGCCCTGTGTATGTCCTGAATATATTATTAACAATATATGCACGCCACATATGTTTGTAATAATTTAATCCCGCGCCGCGTGTATGTATTTTATTCGCGCATCTATTAGATATTGTAGTTTACCTAAGTATTTACTTAAACTACTTAAAACGTAAAAACAGACTTAAATTTTTAGAAAAACTACTTCGGCTCAGCAGACCCGACCACAACATTTGCTTCGGCAGACAACGTGTTTTAAATGCTTTTTTATTTATTTGTTGTTTAATGTGTATTTGGTTATTAATATTTCAAAAATGCTTATTTTTCTTATTGATTAATCTAAAATGAACACGTAATTTTTATTAATAATTGAAAATAGTACTATAATTCTAAATTGATAAAAAAAAATTATAATAAAAACTTAATATGAAAACATAAATTACGACTCTACAAATGAAGTAAATTTTTATAATTAATTTCTCTTTTCTTACAAAAACATTATCTCAGCAATATGTCATAAGTTGCATACACACAGTATGTCTATGTAAGTTGACAGCATATAGAAAACTTTTTTTATTATTCATTTTATGTAAAAGTTATTCTTTATAAAAATGTATGCATGGTCTAACAAAAAATGCAACCACCCGATATCAAATTTTATCAGTCGGTTTTACAAGGTTTGTCAAAAAATTTATTTTCGACAAACCCTATATACGACTGATAAAATTTGATCAGATGTTTGAATTTTAGGTTTTAGACCATGCATAACTTTTCATGTAAAGTAACTTTTTTTCTAAAATTAATAGACCATTCAATTGTTTATGAAAAATAAGATTTTTTCTTAAAATTCTTAAAAAAGTTTTCCGTATGCCGCCAAGTTACACAAACATACTACATATAAATGAGATTAAATTTGTTGAAAATAATTTTTACTGATGCAGATCTATATAAAGTATTGTGGGTAAATACGGTAATAAAAACACTTTTTTATTATATTTTTCTTTTTTTTTATTTGATTCATTGGCTGCAAGACCTTTCGGTTTATACAGGGTATTCCATTAAGAATGGAAGCAACTGAAGATTAACTGATCAGAAATAAGCCGATTAAACGAAACATCCGTAGGTAAAACATTACTCGAAAATCAAAAATTATAAACAGCTACAATTTTTTTTGTTATTCAGTTTAATTTTACTAAATTCGGCAAACGTTATTGGTGTAATAAAATACACCTATCAGAAAAAAAAATAAGTTAAATAAGCTTTGCCAGTGGCATACTTCAGGGGCAAGTAACACCTTTTTCCCTTCTAAATTTTAGTCCACTGTCCAAAATTTTGATTTTTTTTTATTAAATTTCTAAAAAGAGTACATTATTTATTTGAAAAACATCAAAAAATTTAAAATTTTATGTCTAAATAACTTTTTGGATAGTGACGTAAAATTTAGAAGGGATGCCGTATTACGTACCAATGCTGTACGCCTCTGGAAAAGTTAATTAAAGCAGGTAACAAATTGTTTGCTGATAGGTGGATATTATAACATCAAAACCGTTTGCCAAATTTAGTAAAATTCTTGTGAGTAATAAAAAAATATAGCCATAAATATTTTTTGGATTTTAACACCGTAATTCGGAAACGAGAAACATTTTATCTAAACATGATTTGTTTAGTTGTCTTATTTTATTCAGATAATCGTCAGTTGTTCTATGTCCCATTCTTAACGAAACACCATGTATGGTATAATAGGTCCCTACGTAATGATACGAAGACCTTTATCCTTTGTTGACTGGACACAAGAATGAACTACTAAGTAAATATACGGATATTCCGAATGTAATCCAAAATATTATTTTTATACCTGCTACATCGAAAATATTTGCAAGGTCAAGAACTCGTTTACGTATCATCGCGTAGTGGCTAGGGGTGATGAATTTGTTATTTTATAACAATTACTGTTTAAAATTAATAAAATTATTACGCCATCTGTTGAACAAAAGAACTATTAAATATGGAATATTGCTCCATCTGTTGAACAAAAGGATTCTTAATTTATGACATATAAATGACATCTATCAAAATTAGTTCATGTTACGAATATTGGGGGTGGTACTGTGGCCTTAAAAACAGATAAATTTAGGCTCCGACCATTGGTAAGCAGGTAACCCGCTTTCTTTCTGTATGCACCCTAAGCCTATGCTCGTTTATTTGCGTATAATAGTATATTACATTACGAGTGTGGAAAGTGACATTTTTCACACGAGTGGGAAATATTGTCGCACGAGGCACAAGCCGAGTGCGACTATCACACGAGTGTGGAAAATCACTTTTCACACAAGTGATGTACAATATTTTTCCTACGACCACAAATTATTTTCATCAAAAAATGTAAAACCAGGTTATTATAATAATTAAAATGTATTTAAAAAAATAATCAACAACAATCGTATTTATTCAATTTTCATATTTTTTAAACAAAAAAAAAAATTAAAAAACAAAAAAAATTAAAAAAAAAAAAACAAAAAAAAGTTCTGGCCCCGCCAGGATTCGAACGCGGTCGTTCGCCAGGTCTCTCAAATGGCAAATTTGATAGTTTGATGCTTTAACCAACTGAGCTAACAGGCCTTTCGTCAATTGAGTGATCTAATCGGTTATATGCAGAGATAACATTATCTCTGGTTATATGTTTAACCAGAATAAAAAGCAAACATAATTTTAGTTATTGTAAAATTATTTTAATAATAATTGTTAAAGATAAATATCTAGGATCTAATTTACAACAATTTCAATAATTTAACAATCATATCGATTTTAGTATTAATATGGACATTACATAGATCAAAATAGAAATTAGGTGTTTGACATTTTGTAACAACTACTGCGGAAAGTAACATATTCTCACTCGGGTGGAAAGTAAATTCTTATTCATACGCGTGTGATATAGGGCACTTTCCATAGGACTTTATAGTGTGATATGTGTCACTTTCCTAAGTGGTCGTAGGAAAAAACTATTTTCTTTTTTAGCAAAATCCGTCACAAGCAGATTTAATGACAACCAGATTAAATTTAAAATACAAGTTAGAAAAGAAATTTCCCGAGTATCAAGACTGTACGGAATTTGAATCATTGGAAAAATTATGTTTAGTCAATTTAGACAATTTTGAGAAGAACATCCTTCAAAACCCGAATATTTTTGCAGTAAAATTTCTTGATAGGTAATTTTTTTGAACTTATGTTTAAATTATTTTTAGCCGACTTCAAAAAAAGGAAGATTCTCAATTCGTCGAAATATTTTTTTTATGTGTGTTCAGCGATAATTCTCTTTTTGTTAGAAAGAGGGCTCCTCAGTGGTGGTCCCATATAAATTTGGTCAAAAACTAAATGATGGGATCCAAGACGAAAGCATCAAACTTTATTTTTGGAGTCGGTTTTTAAAATTACTTTAATAACTTTTTAAAAATGAAATATATCTTTTAGGGTAATGAAGTTCAATAAAAATCCCGAAGATTATAGATGTTTGATAACACATACGTTTGCGAACATGTACGAAAGAATTGGTAGAACAAGTAAGATTGGATTTTCGAATATATCGACGATTGACAATTTACCATTTAACCTAGGCACTTATGAAACAGATATTCCTTCTAGAATAGATAGAAATTGTTTTGAAAATACTAAAGACGCTGTTATGAAAGAAGATGTTTTACATTGTAAGAGATTGATAAAGATAAAAAGTAAGCCCATTTGTCAAATTTTCAATTTATATATCTATAATATATTAAAGTCACTGATTGACTGTCTAACTGATCAATGAATATACCAAACTGTGCTTAATTTAGGAACCTGAAATTTTTTATTTATAGATTTATATCTAGAGACTCCTTTAATAAGAAAGAAATATGGGTTTTACCAGTAAAAAAAAACACGTGTTGGTACCTATGTAGTACAAAAAATCGAAGGTGTTACAGACGTGAAAAATTCATGTATTAATTTGCCTATCACTTTACGAATTTAAAAAAGTTTTAGAATTAGAGCAACTGTTGAATCAAGGTTACGTTTTGGGGTCTATTTTTGAAGATTATTCAGTGCATCCACTGAGGTTTTCTTGTCTAAGAAAAAAAATTGTAAAATATTAACTCTTCCATCTATAGTTATACATGAGTTTGGTTTATATATCTTCCAAAACCAGATTAAATTCGAGATATGCTAAATTGGTGGTTAGCACTTTGAATTTGAACGAAAAAGTGGAATATCGGGTCGTTGAATTTTAAGGTTTAAGTGAAACAGTATTGTTACTTAGGCTTAACCACGTATAGGATATTTGCATTGATAGCCCTGGTTTTTAAGAATGTCTTCTTTTGATTAGGCTTAGCAAATTATTTGAACAATTTTTGGAAAAATATTTGTCCTGTTTGCCGCTTAAGCCCGTCTATGTAAAAATATTTGGGCCCTTAAGTCCGTCCATGTAAAAATATTTGATATCTCTAACCCTTATGCTCATGCCAACTATTTGGTCACTTTACCCCTTAAACTTGCCAATGTAAAAATATTTGGGCTTTGCCCCTTAACCCTGCCCATTTAAAACTATTTTGGTCCGTTACCTGTTCCTGCCTATCTAAAAAGATTTGGTCCTTTAACCTCTTTATTAACTAATTATAGTGTTACAAGTACTGTTATTTAATATCTAACATCACACTAATATTTAAACCTGAAAATGTCAACTAAGAAAAGTTAGTTAAGAAAGTTTTTAATTTTTTTTAAAGAGGTCAGTAATCCTTATGTTCTTTATGATGCTTGGAAGTTCATTGTACTGTCTTAGACCATCCGATAATATGTTTCGGTCACCTAAGCATGTTCTTACGGCTGTGGTTCTGTAGCAGAGGTTTTTTCCCTAAACTGTAGGAAAAAAATTGCTTTTTTTAAGCCAACTTATCGGTTTACTTTAAATAGAACACCCTATATTTATTCATGCCTTTTTCAAAAATGTATACATTGGGATTATTTAATAAAAGTTTGGAAGAGATGTTTTTTATGAATCTACATCAAAAACTAATTTTTTATACATTTTTATGGATGTATTTTCTGATTTGCTTCGAATAAAAAATTATCTGATACTCTTATAATCAACTGTGTCTTTTTTCCAAAGCCACCTGACATATATTAGACACCGTTTTATCAAGGTGGCTTTGAAAAAAATATAACTGACGTTAAGAAATGTCAAATAATTTTTGTGAAGAAGATGAATGAACACACTCAAATTTATTAATCAACAATGTATTTAAAGGCCATTTTTTTGGCGATTTCAGGTAAAAAATATACCTTTGGCAAATATGTCAATATGTTCCATTCTTGAGTTTTAAGCTGTTAAAATGTGTTAGTTTATAGTGGGACAACCTGTAATATATGTTGAAATTTTCAAGCAAAGGTTACTTAAAAACCATAATGATAGCACCACAAATCACTATACTAAACGCTAAAAACACTTGTATTGTTAAATTTAAAATCTTACAATATGTTCTTATTCCACTTTTTCGAGACACACTTTTACGTTTAATATACGACTGATGAGTGTTCGTAATTCCCTTAATATTCTACTTTCTAGTTCTTAATAGATTAAACGATTTAACATCTTATGATATATTGATTAATCAGTCATTTGGGTCTTCATCTCCACTTTCTTCAAAATCTGTATCGTATTCAATGATAATGCAGTTATCGGAATCTGCTTCATCTCCACTGAAATCACTATTTATTTAATCATACCAGTCACAAACGCTTTTCTCAAAAGTACATTCCAAACACTGATGGCTTGTCTGGAAGTACTTGGTTTGAAATTCATTATTTTATTTGTAAAAAGTAGATTTTTTAAAAATTAATAAAAAAACTTTTCTGATGTTGAGTCTGTGGGACTCCTCCGATTCTAGAAGTACGTAAGAAGATGTACAATCACCAATAAACGCTCTACTTAGGTTTGCAGGCAGATAATCACTAAAGAGATAGTTACTGAATGCTGCATAAGTCTGATTAAAATTAAAAATTAATTTACATTGAACTCATTCTACTGCATTTCCAACAAATAGTTATGGACCCAGGCTAGTAGAGATGTTAAAAAATAAGTAAAAACATTTTTTTCAAGTATGGCAAGCAGTGAATCGAGCTCCGCAATGGCAGCCGTAGAAAAACTTAAAGGCAGGGAAAATTGTAATGACTGGAAATTTCAAATGACTGCATTACTGAAACATGATGGTCTCTGTATTTATGGATATCCTGCCAGTAATACAACGGACATTGCATTAAGAACGAGTCGTGAAGTGAAAGCTTTTTAAAAAATAATATTTTCTCTAGATAAATCGACATATCCACATGTTATGCAGGTGAATACAGCCATTGAAGCCTGGAAAGTCCTAGAAAAATCTTTTGAAGATAAAGGACTTCACCGTCGTTTACGTTTACTGAGAAGTTTATGTTCAGTAAAACTTATAAACTTCAGTATAATGGAAGAGTACACACACGAAGTCATGGATTTGGCTCATAAACTTTCTTCGATTGGTAAACCAGTCGAAAACGATGATTATGAACCGATGGTAATGGCCTTAGAAATTTTGGAAGCAGAAATAACATCAGATTTTGTTGAAAATAAATTATTGCAAGACAAAAATGGCAGAATGGGCGTCGTCCTGAAAATTTCGCTCTTGCAACAAAGAAATTTAACAAGAACCCATATTTTTGGCTTTGTAAACAAAAAGGACACTATACAAATCAATGTCCTCAACAAAAACAAACATCAAATGGAGAAGGTTCAGACAATAAGAACAAAAATAAAAATAGACGTGAGTCTACTACTCTCATTGCTGATCTTGCGATAAATATGCAAAGAGTTTACTTGGTACATAGATAGTGGTGCTTCCTCATACATGTCTGGACAAAGAGAATTGTTGTTTGATCTATCAAATATTTATTCTGGCCAACAAGTTATTGTAGACAGATTGTAAATTGGTGTGAAGGTACACCTCTTGAACAAAATAATAAATTTTCACTTGATGGATAATTGTATGATCCTCCCTATTAGCCGTTATTAGGATCTCTTATGTATTTGGCTGTTTGTACACATCCCGATAATTTTGCTGTCTTTTTTAAGACAATTTAATATTAATCATACTAAAGAACATTGGGTGGCTGCTAAGAGTGCTAAAATAGTTAAAAGCAACCAAAGAAGTTGGTTGGGTTGGTTGATTGGGTGATTGGTTGGTTGGTTGGTTGGTTGGTTGGTTGGTTGGTTGGTTGGTTGGTTGGTTGATTGGTTGGTTGGTTGGTTGGTTGGTTGGTTGGTTGGTTGGTTGGTCGGTGGGTCAGTTGGTCGGTTGGTGGGTGGGTTGGTTGGTGGGTTGGGTTGATTGATTGGGTTGATTGGTTGGGTTGATTGGTTGGTTGGTTAATTCGTTGGTTATTAGCCAGTAGACCAATTTCATGGGAAAGTCGAAAACAAAAAGGTATTGCTTTTTCTTCGACTGAGGCGAAGTATATCGGAATAACAGGCTGTTAAAGAGACACTATATTTTAAATATTTATTATGTAAGCTTTTTTCTGCAAAGTGCAAATAAAATTAGCTGAGCATCAAATAACATTTCATAAGCGACCAAAATATACATGTGAAATATGATTTTATGTTTGACAAAATTAGAGATAAAGATATTAGTTTATTGCATATGCCAATTGGTGAGATGATAGCGGATATGCTTACAAAATCATTAGGTTGTACGAAACACCGATTTATTTGTAAGTAAATTTAAAATAACTTTTTCTTTTGTCACACCTTGGCATTGAGGGAGAATATTAATAAGCAATAGCCCAAAGTGTGTAAAGTTTATAGTTTAGTTTTTTAATTTAGAAAAAAGATATAATAATGAAACTGTCACGTAGATTGTCAGATATGTATTGTCTGTTTTAAATAAAATTGATTTACATTCAACTCCAACAACATAATATATTTAAAAACATCAACAAATTTAAAATTATGGTCTTGATTAGTTTTTGAACGGTGCCTTAAAATTTAGAGAGGATGCCGTACGCCATTGGCAAAGTTTACTAAACTAATTTTTGGGGTCTTATGTCACTAAAAACGTTTGTTGAATTTAGAAAAATTATACTGAGTAATAAAAAAAATTATAGCCATTCATTTTTTTGCCAATTTTAAACTTTAAACACCCTGTATTTCGGAAACGTGTAACATTTTACATATCTATGCATTTACCGTCCCTTATCTCTGATTTTACCTAAGCATGTTTAGTTTAATCAGAGAAGCTTCAGTTGTTCTATGATCCATCATTCTGTATATACAAGGTGCCCCAAAAAGTTTTATACAAATGGGAAAAGCTTTATCTTACATTTCACAAAATATTATTTTGGAAAAAAGTTCTGCATCACTTGGAAATCCATAATCAAGAGTTAAAATTTGTAAAATATAAGTGGTGTACAGAGAAAATAAAAATAATTTATAATGAAGAGCAAAATACTTTTAGAGCAAAATATTGATTAAAATGTTGATAAGAATCAAAAGTATTCTTAAGTTTAAATCTTTGGACTTATTTTTAAGTAATTTCGATTTACTTTATAATAAATAATCCAAAAGCAATGTTAAACTGTGCGTTGGTTTTTTTTAATTTCACAGGATTATTGATTTGCAAGTGATGCATAACATTTTATCAAGAATATTTTTTTTTGTGAAATATAAGATACATTTTTTTCCTACTTGTTTAAAACTTTTTGGGACACCTTTTTCTAGTTTGACCTTTATAGATAATGAAATGCACTATTGTGGCGATTATAACTCAATAATATTATGTACAATTATCTACGGAAGCAAAATGTTAGTTAGTTTTATCTGAATTTCTAACTTTTTTACCTAATGAAACAATTTTTTTTAGATACTTTACCGTATAAAAACTGCCCTTTTGGACAACTACCCCATCAGAGCAAGACGGAGAATCCTCTCCTAATGAACCGTAATTAAACATTTTTAGATTCACTATGAGTATTAATGTTCTGTTTTATATTATTACTTTAAATAAAGTAACAATTGCAGAACTTCTGGCAAATATTTTTTTTATTACTGTGTAGTGTGTGCTGTGTGAAACCCCCTAGTAGAGTTGGTATAAGAACAAATGACAGAAAAATGCTTCAGATAATAGCAGCCTTGAGCTTGAGGGTAACAACTTTTCAGGAAATGGAAATACACAAGGTAACAATTTTTATTTATCACAAATATGATGGATTTGATAAGTAGGTAAGTAAATACAGAGATGATGTATTGATTCAAGCAAATCCTTCATAGAATCAGTGGCGTACCCAGCCATTTTTCATGGGAGGGGTTTTTAAGATCTATGGGGGGTTCCATCAAGAAAGTAAATAAAAACAAACAGTCAATAGCGATCAGTGCCAATACTATAGCAGAAATGGTGACGCGAGGACCCTCCAAGGGGGGGGTTCTGACCTCTAAAACCCCCCTTCGCCACTGCATAGAATTACCCCTTGTTCCCCTTAGCCTGGTGATAAACAAAATTCAACTAGAGTTAGGCAAATGGGTAAAGCGTCTTTTACCCATCTATTACTAAGATATTACCAAATGTATCACAGGACGTTGTACTTTGATTGAGATAAGGATGTTCCTCGAGTGGTCAGTGACTACTATTAATATCAAACAAGTGCAATTTTAAATCTTTGGTTCCTAAAACAAGATAAATTTTGAATCATGCACGAGGTTTGTCGAAAATTATGAATTTTTAATAATATCGAACATTGTTATTAACACATTGAAGGACACCTGTTTTCTCCTTAGGTTACTACCTATTGATACTAGCAGGATATGCCGCAAAGCGTATGATGTTTCGGTGGACATTAAAGTGATATAACGCATTTACTTTATGGTGGTTTTATCAGACTAGCACAAAGCGTCTTTTTCAGGTCATACCTGGGAAATTTAATCAAAATTGAAAACTACGGTCAGATTACTATGAAAAAACAGTTTCATGATTTGCAAATTTAAATGTAATTCTTCGATGGTCTAATTCTAATACCCCGTATCTGCAATAAAATCAAATTTCACTTTTTCGCGCCATTTGATTGTACATTTACATTGCCATTAGTTAAAATACATCGTATTGGCTGTATACACCGTGTTTACATGAGAAATTTGACTACTCTAATAACCCTTATTGCAGTCATATATAACACTATTAAACTGAAAACAGCTTTTGTCGACGAACCTTGTACATGAATAAAAAAATTGATATTGATGGTTGCATTTTGGGTTTTGGACAGAGATAACAGAGATATAACCATTCATTGATAAAATATAATATTCACGATGCCAAGATTAATTCGACAATCAATACACTCTATTTGTAGGTCATCGGCAAGGAGACGAAAAGTGAGAAGTAAGAGAGGGGATAAAGAGAAGGGTTTTACACAGATACAACTTTTTTTATCAATGAATAAATGTGTAAGCCGCTATGCGCTTATAATAAACAATAATGTACAATTACATACCGGTGTAAGCCCTGTTGCCACTTCCAACCTAACATGACTAGGTTTGAGAATTTATTGAAAATTATGACATCGAATTTAGTGAAATTTCATTTAATTCAGTTAAATTTGATATAACTAATGATTCAAATTTTTTTGGGTTCAGTTGCAATAAAATAAGCAGGTTGTATTATTTTAGCTTTTTTAATATATCTATACCTATAATTTTGTAAACAAAACGAGAATAATGAAATAGGCATATGACAACTAAAGTGACCATAATTTGTAAAGTAGAAAGTGGGTCAAATCAGCAATATGGAGAGCGAAGGGCGGACGGAGAGAAACTAAATAAAAATTATGAAAATTCATCAACATTATACTAATGAATAAACAAGAATAATTAACAAACAACAATTAAAAGTTTAGGTAATTCTAAAAATACTAGTAATTTAGGCAGACACTTTTGAGACGGTTTATAATTAATAAATCAACCCCAAAGTTGATTTTTTTTAAATATGATTTGAAGTGTTTGATTCACGCTGAAATTTTAATAGCGTATTAATTAAATAAATTTTTGCAATCAATTATAATTATTTTATCTGTGTGGAAAGGAACAACGAAACGGTGTTGTTATGGAGTATGTAAAAGTGACACACGGCATAAATCATTCAAAGGCAATATACACATATTATGTTATAAATTTTCCAAAGCCTTGGCTGCAATATCGTAAAATATCAAATTATTAGGCAAAATCCATATTAAAACATGTTCAAAATGTGCATTAGGTGTGAAAAAAATGTGGTCGAAGTGATAACGGTTTAATATCGTAAAATATTATCAAATTATTAGGCAAAATCCATATTAAAACATGTTCAAAATGTGCATTAGGTGTGAAAAAAATGTGGTCGAAGTGATAACGGTTTTCGATGGATTGATAGAGTTACTAAAGATAGATACTTATATTTGTTCACTACATTTTCATGGAAATAGTGGTCCATCAAGAAAATTCTTATCTGGTATTAAACAATATTGTTTTAATATTAAATACTACTTCGGTATACACAGTAAAATGTCATGTTGATCCTCAAAATATTAAATTATTTATTTTATTAAGTATACTCGTGAATAACTTTCATGTTAATTAAAGTGTTTTGGCATAATTAATTAGAATAGAGTTATAATTATTATTTGTTTTCATTAATTTTTTACACAGTTAAGAAGTATTGATACATCTAACCTCTCAATCAGTCCACCTTTTTCCTTTGTAGCAAACGCCCAAGACACTACAACCACCTTTTTAATTGCTCACAACTATGCGCTTCCACAGAGTTAATAACCATTAACGATTTTTTCTAATGATTAATTTTTCTGTAAAGATAATATTGTTTTCCCAGCCATTGTCGATTAAAACAGTACGAAACTTTTGAATTACCGCTATTTTGACATGGTGACTGCGCTTGCGCTTGTCACATTATGAAAAGGTCTATTATTACTTTTTAATTAAACAAAAATAAATTGGAAACAAAATTTTATCATGTCAAATGATACCTACATTGTAATTTAATGGAATCACATAAATATATGATTTAAAAACTATAAAAGTATCATTATTACTTAATTGTAATAATTTTTAATCTTGAGAGATTAAAAGTTTAAACATAAGTCATCTAAAGAAATGCATTTTTTTTATTATACTCCAAAATATGAATTTAAAATATAAAGCTGTAAAAAGATACGTGACCAATAGCCAATGGGAGCGTAGAGAAAGACTAGTAACGGCGGTGATCAGCGCTCTCACTCACACCTACAGCCATACGCAGCCTATCTCTTTCTATAGTAAATAAGACTTATTTTTATGTTGGCCGGCAATTAAACCCCGGAAAAAGTGTCTGCCTTTTTGGAATTAATTTTTTTTATATTTAATTAAGACGCTATTAAAATTACAGCGTGAATCAAACACTACAAATCATATTTAAAAAAAATCAACTTTGGGGTTGATTTATTAATTATAAACCCTCTCAAAAGTGTCTACCTAAACTTTCAATTGTTGTTTGTTTGCCTCTGAATCAAACACTTTTTTTGGGTCATATTTTACGACCCCTTTCTATTTTGCGCAGTACCTGGTGTCCCGGGGGCGATTTTACGTTTCCGTGTTCAGTTCAAACCGACGCGGTCTTGAAATAAACACGGGAAAGTAATGCAATATTTATAGGCAAACCCGTGTTGATATCGAGGCGCCAGACAATGAACCACGCACGGATTTGTTTGGAAACAAACCATATTTGCTCATATCCAAATCCGTGTTGATCTTAAGGACGAAATCGAAAAATCCGCGTCCAACCTACAGCAATCGCTCGTAAAAAAAATAGAGACTTACCTTGCAGTGGGAGGATCCAGTCAGGTAGACCCCCGAAAGCTTATGAAGGCCGAATAAGAAAACGTCCCCGTTCTCATAATATTAACAATAATCAACCTGTTGCAAAAAAACATTAGAACTTATCTTTCCACATAACGAAAATTATTTTGATTTGTTTGTGAAAATAATAATTATTTAAATATAGGTATGTTAGCAACAAATAAATAAATAACTAATACCTCCTATTCTTTGTTCTGGGCCTAGGTAGAAAACCCCCAAAAAATGATTAAAACATTTTAAAAGCAATTCAAAATTTTTCGTTCTTGTCTTTTTGTAATTTGAACATATAGGTATCACTACATTTTGAGTTAGAGGCCACTGTGACGTTCATTGATTTCACTAGGTATTGTCAGCAATGCTCCATAATAAAAAATAATCTGCACCAGTTACAAAAAGTATCGCATAATCTAATTTTTTTTCTACTACGAAAGATGTATTAAACAATTAAAATATGTTTTCTATACCAATTTTTTCGTCATTATTTTATGTTGATATAAGTATACAAATAAAAATTAGTTTAGCTAAATCACTTTTATATTACTAGAATATTTAACAAAATTTTGTTTCATTGCTCTAAACGTAAGTTATGCGCTCCTTTTTGTAATGAGTACTTTAATAAAGAAAAATTAGGCCATTTACGAATGTTTTCCTTTTTGTGTAACGCCTCCATGTTCAGTACCAAGATGCTCTTTGAAATGAAAACGGAAACGTGAACATGTACCTTCATTCATTTCCAAATAAATCCCTGCGTTTTTCATTGCCTGGCGCCTTGAAATCAACACGGGTTTGCCAATAAATATTGCAATACTTTACCGTGTTTATTTCAAGACCGCGTCGGTTTGAATTGAACACGGAAACGTAAAATCGCGTTCCGCTGTGGGTCTAGCCAACACAGGTATGTATATCTGCTTTTCCATCCAAATGATTTCAAAGTACATCAAACAATGAAATTTGTGTTACTAGCTCTCAGACTATAATATAAATTTGTTACAAAAAATATTTCTCAAATCAGACAAAAGCAAGACAAAATTCAGACATGCTAAATCGGGACGCGGATAGTCACTTTATATTATACCCTCCTGCTGTGTCCCTTAGAATAATAATGTCTTTTCAGGAACGCACATTTGTTAGTAGTTACATTTCTGGTTCATATTAT